GGCTGTGGCAATGCGCGCAAATCTCAACGCACCAAAGATCCCCCTCCCCCACTCGTAAAGCCTTAACAGACTATATTCTTAGTTTTTTATCGGTAAAGTTACGTAGGTAAAAAAAATTAAAAATAATAAAAGTAAAATAAACTAAAAATAAAAATCACGACGTTTCAGAGGCAACACAAGCTTCCGTCTTCAGGTGGAACCGTCATAGCCACGACAGGTGTATCATATAATTGAAAGATTACAAGAGCTACCACTCCGTATACATAATGGTTGAAGAGGGGAAGGGACAAGTACGGCACACTTTTTATTAATATGGTAAGGTGAGGCTTAAGACTAAGAATAGACTGCATAAAAAAATACTGAACCTTTATTATGGAGAGGTACGGTTTGTGACTACGCCTAGCCTACATAACAAAAGTGTGAAAAAAGAAAAAACTAAACCTGGTAAAACAAAACTGGCTTTCTATCAATAACCTGTAATAGTTGTCTGTCAAATAAGATGGTCCAAATAAGTGTAGTTAAATATTTTTTGCATGGTTAATCACATCTTTCCAATGATTACTCAGTTTATAACCATCGTCATGGTTGAAATTATGTCTGTGTTTGTATATTTGTATGGCTTCGGGTACAAACCTTTGATGGTAGCCAGGAGGTTTGCAGAGCACCTTGGTCTCGGAAAAGACAATGGATGGTCCGAGCCTCGTCCAACGCGGGGCCAGTGGTGGTGGTTGTGGTGGTGGTTGTGGTCGTGTGTTGTGGTTGTGGTGGGTGTGACGATGACCGGAGCTCTTGAAGGACGCTACTGGGCAGTTGGAGGCTAACGCACCTATGAACGGCACACAAGGGGGTGGGTGGCCAGCACCACGCCCGGCCGCCTTTGTCTCCCCAGTGGCGATGCTTACTACACACCGCACCAGGTACTCCTTTGAGGCTGAGTCGATCTAGGGGAGGCACGGGACCGATTCAGATAAAAGGACACTGGGGGTTGATGGTCGTGAGCGGTAATCGATTTCCGGTCACCAGGTGCGTCACGGCAGCGCGCTAACTGCTGCGCCACCGCTCCCCACGCTACCGCTGTCAACGCACACACCACCAACAGCTGCCGTCATTAATCACTAAGTGGTGGTGGACGTCATCACGGCGTTTGTGCCAGACTAGGTGCTCTTTGAGGCCATGTGAAGTGTGGAAGGCTCACGGCTGGTAGGTCACGGGACAGACCAAGGTGCCATGGGTTGACTGACAAAGATCACTGGGAGATGCACCACCTGTGCACCCCACCTCGCTGCGTTTTATCCGCCTCGCGCTCCGCTCATTGTTGAGGGCATCGCTCCTCCAACAACAGCGGAGGGCGTTAGCCTCCAACTGCCCAGTAGCGTCCTTCAAGAGCTCCGGTCATCGTCACACCAACCACCACAACCACCACACACCACCACAACCACCACCACTGGCCCCGCGTTGGACAAGGCTCGGACCATCCAGCAGTGGACTGCTCTCTCGCTGGGAGAGGAGCCACAGTGCTGGACGGGTCGCACGGAGACCACGGGGAAATCGGGGTTGTGGACTCCTCGCGGTCTCACGGACTCGCGGTATGCGTCACCTCTCAAAAAGCGGGATGAACGCGGTGCGCCCAACCTCCGCACCCGGCACTCCACATCCAGTATTCTCTTTCTCTCGCTCTGAGCTGTGGACACCACCACAACTACTGCACTGCTCGTCACGTGCAACCTACTCCAGGTCTACCAGCTACTCGACAAATCTTTCCACTCCCGGCACCCCACATCCAACATTCTACCTCTTGCCGCGTCTCCACTCCCTTTGCAGGAGGATGATGTTTCTTATACAGACAGTCCTCGACTTTGGAACACCTATACACTTACGAACACCTGCACTTACAAATCAGCTTCCATGATATTTTACATTGACTTGAAACGCGAACTCGCACTTGCAAACTGAACCACGGAACTATTTTGTTCAGCGAAGCGATCCTCCACGGGATGTAATGAGTCAGCCTCGTGCTCGAAGTGAGTGTGTGCGCGTGTGTGTGAAAGTGGGAGCGTGGCGAATGGTAGTGTAGCAGTCAATGCGCTGCGCTACGAACCTGGCCAACCGAGTTCCATTCCCGCTCACGGCCAACACCAGTGACGATTATCTGAACCGGTCCTGGGCCTCCTCTAGGGCGACTCAGCTTCAAATGAGTACCTGGTGCAATGTGTACAAAGCGTCACTGGGAAGACAAAGGCGGCCGGGCGTGGTGTTGGCCACCCACCCCATCATGTGCCGTGCCTGTCTTCAAAGGCGCTAACAGCACTTGCCCCAACAGTCTGTTAAGGCTATACGGGGGGTATTTGTCGTGAGAGTGTGTGTCTTTGTATCTGTGTGTCTGTCTTTGTGTCTTATTCTTTGTGCGCACGTGCCCCACGTGTGCGCAATTGTGGGGACTCATTGCGCCCCTTCAAACGCTCGCATCAAGACTCAAGGTAAGTGAAAATAAAACATTTCTTCTATTTATGTTACTTAATTTCATGTTTTATTTACTATACAGTATTTATGTTACAGTGTTAAATGCAAATATGTACAATATTTCCTTTTTTTGTTGAACCGTAACACATTTAAAACACAGACCGTATGGGTATGTAAATACAGCAGTGTATTGTAGTGTTCGACTTACGAACCGTCCGACTTACGAACAACCCCCCGGAACGAATTATGTTCGCAAGTCGAGTACTGCCGATATTTTTAATTGACGTTTAGTGACTTGCTGACATTTGCCCTCCTTTGCACTTCTATCGCTGTTAGTGTTGTTTCTTGGTGTAACGTTCTAACCCCGTGCCCCTACTGAAAATATATGAACAAGAGATTCAGAGCTCATCGGATTCCTCCAGGATATGTAAATAAATACAAGTTTCTGCTACTGCTGCTCTGCGATGTCTGCCCGTGACATCCATGAGTGGCGAGAAAACCCAGCACGCTTGAGGAGGCGGAGTGGGGGGATAACGCTCAGAACTCCACAGATGGATTTGCAATGGCTATACTCGTGAGCATGGCAGACAACGCAAGTTTCGCACAATGCAAACCACGTAGTCCGTGACACACAAACAGCTGCAGCGACATGACCACAGGAACAGCAACAAAGACACAGCTCTCCGTGTAGCCTCAATAGGCTGCAGGGGCAAGTGCTGTTAGCGAGTAGCACCTATGAAGGCCGGCACTGTGGCACACTCAGGGGTGGGTGGCCAGCACCACGCCTGGCCGCCTTTGTCTCCCCAGTGGCGACATTTACTACACACCACTAGGCACTCATTTGAGGCTGGCTCGACCGAGCCTCACGCACGCTCCCAGCAGGGTACGGGTCATTTAGTGCGGATTCAAGCATCGCAGTTGAAAAGCAATCTTCCCAAAGTGCTCCTTTTCTCTCCGCGCGCATCGCAATAAACCGCGGCACGGCTACCTTTCGTTTCTACATGGGGGTTGTGTTCTTGAAAAAGCGCGTAAGTTAAAAATTATCCCCATAAGAAATGTAGATGTTTGGGGTTAGGGAGAGCATGCTATCGAACCTCATTCTTACGTCTACATATTTCACCGGTTACAGCCCCTATATGTACAATACTATAAAATATGTTTTAATGATAGTGACAGCCTCTTTTTCAACGTGTTTACTTCACTTGACTCCTGTGTCGTGGTCAAATCTTGTAATAAAAATTTAGTCTACTTCCGGTTGTCCAATCAATTCCAAATTTTGCACACACACTCAGATCCGGTGACAATGCATGTCTGTATTAACATCGACACCAATTCATCAATGAATTGCCTCCTTTCAAGCAATTACACATTTTGCATGGACGGCTTATTAATATTACATATTTGTGTAAGTGAAAAACGCCGCGGTCCCTAAACTGTGGAATCGGCTCGCACAAGGAGCAGGCGCCGCGTGTCTCTTGTAATCAAGATGTCGTCCACTTTCCGTTGTCCAATCGAGTTATTTACTTTTTAGTGCACTTTAAAATAAAACCGTTGTTTAAAAAAAAACTTTCTTAAAGGAGTTTATTTAGTTTTACCGGGTGAGGCCCACAGCTATATAGATCTTTTTCAAAAGCAACCTGACCACAAATAACAGCTCAATGAAGTGGCTTTACACGTAGTAAAGTTATTGCAGCCAAGTTCTACAGGGTGTTTAAAAATGATTGACCCAATTTCAAAGCAGTATATTTCACGATGGCAACATGTTACAATTACACAAAAAGTTACAAACGGTTTAATGAGTTATCAAGTTTTACGAACCATTTTATAAATGCTCTGTGCCCTCCACCTGCTGAACGGACAACACGATAAGAATTCGTCCCAAACGCCTCTCTTCTCACGTTTTCCTCTGAGGTGCGTGGTCGCCCTGTGCTCTTCCCCTTACATCAACAGCCTGTTTCCTCAAATTGTCGGTACCAACGACGAATGTTCTTTGACATTGGCAGATCAATGCCAAAACGCCGTTGAAACACACGCTACACCGCAATTACGGATTCTGTCTTGCAGAACGCAAAACGCCTTGTGTTGCGGGGTCACCGTCTTGCGAAAGACTGAGGATAGGGGCTGTTTGTGCGCTGGAAGAGGCATCTAACGATAATAATTTAAAACTCTATGCCCCACCCTTTCAAGTGGTAAGGGTTTCATCCATATTTTTTTTAACACCCTGTATAAATGCAAATATACAGACGTCAGGGCCGGGATCGAACCCATGACCTCGCTTATAAAAGACGAGGCAGTTAACATCTTGCCACCATGGCACTCTTTTTCACAAGTGACCTAGTTACATATATACTAGGTCAACGAAGTGGCTTATCACGTAAACATTTATTGCAGTCAAATCCTTTAAAACGCGTGTTGATTCTAAATGCGGAGGGAAAACCCGGTATTTTAATACGCACAATGGACAGGAAGGACAAGATCAAAGGCTCGCATAATGCACATGCATAATTCATTAACCCCCCCCCCCCCCACTTTACCCAAGAGCGGAAAAGTGTGATCACCACATCTACGCCTCTATATAAGGAACGAAACAGGTGCACTTCTCCACAAATTTGGCTGTCGCCTGATGAAGCTAGCTGTAATTACTGGCGAAACGTCGTACTCAGATTGTAAACGTTGTGGCTTGACTCTCCAACACACCGGTGTGCTGTACTAGTGAGGAATTGGCACGTTCTGTTTACGTGACAACCCTTACTAGTTGGCTGTGTCGGGTGGTGGTGGGTTTTAAAGACACATTTATATATTTACGTGATCAAACTCCCAAAAAACCCTCTATTATGGATGATATTGGTCGCGAAAGTCTATGTGTAAAACAAACCCGAAGGAATCAGAGGAAAATCGACGTAACCACGGGAGAAGATGCAAACTCCAAATATACAGGCTTCAGGGTCGGGATTGAATTGATTACTTCCTGTATTCTGGGCGAGGTAGTTAACATCTCAACACTTCTCTGACTCACCCACCCACTCACACACTAACTCACCCCACTCAACCTCCCACACTAACTTACCCACCCACCAGTCACCCAACCATTTATCCAACCACCCTCTCACCTTACCACCCACCCGTTCACCTACTCACTCTTTCACAACACTTGCCAATTCGTTACTAGTACAGCACACGGGTGTGTTGGAGAGTAAACCCACTACAGCATTTACATAGAATCGCTCCTCCATGGGGCAATCCCATGGACGAGCGATCCCATGGAGCGATCCCATGGAGCCGTGCAGTGGTCAAGAGCCACACGGCAGTGATGACGTCCTCCTACGTGGCATGGATCAGGGCCACGTATGTACTTACATACGTGTATAAGTACGTACATATGCATTAGGCAGGGTGCACGTTTCGCGAGCGTAGAGAAGGGAGGAAGACCAAAAACGTCGTGTGGAGCGACAGGTCAGGTAGCTTCCACACAACGGCGTGAAGCAGCTGATCACAAGATAATGCCGCTCGGCTGATTCGGACTGAGACCTTTGCTGTGAAACCGGAGCTGGCATAAGCGCACTGTATGTACATGTATATATGTTGAACTTTTCACACCGTGCATAGCCAACCGTGCTCAGACAAGAACAAAGTAAGAACATTGTCGCGGGCTCTCCGACACAGCCATTATGAACCCACACAGATAGAGAGAGGCAGGGTCCAGGGGCTCGAACCCGGTTGTCAGGAGTGCTGCCCAAAGCCTTCTCAATTCCTCCTTTGGCCCAGGAGGAGTCCGTGAGGAGTCCGTGAGGAGTCCGTGAGGAGTCTATGAGGCCATTAGTAGTCCGTAATGAGCCCGTTAGGAGTCTGTAAGGATTCCGTAAGGAGTTCGTGAGGAGTCCATGATTCTGTATGGTGTGTGTGTGTCAATGGGGAGCGGTAGCGTAGTGGTGAGCGCGCTACGCTTTGAACCAGGCAACCCAAGTTTGATTTTCGCTCACGGTCAACACCAGTGACGATCATTTCAACTGATCCTGGGCCTCCCCTAGGTCGACTCAGCCTCAAATGAGTACCTGCTGTGGTGTATAAACATCGCCACTAGGGAGACAAAGGCGGCCGGGTGTAGGGCTGGTGGTCACCCACCCCCCCATGTAGTGTTCCAGCCTTCATAGTTGCTACTCGCTAACAGCACTTGCTATATGGTGGTTCTTTGTCTTTGTGTCTGTTGGTGTGTGTGAGTGTTTGGTCTCAGTGTAAATCTATGGGTCACTGTAAGAATCTATGGTTCTCTATATTGATCTATTAGTCTAAGTTTATGGCTCTCTATGGTAGCCTCTAGGCATCTATATAAATGAGTCTCTATGTTAGTATTTGGTTCTCTATGCAAGTCTGTGTGTAGTGAGTCTATGGGTCTCTGTGGCGAGTCCATGGGTCTCTGGGTCTCTGGGTCTCTACTTCTTGGCCATGATGTACGGCACCACCACCATGGCAACGACGCCAGAGAAGACAATGACGATGATGATGGCGCAGATCTTCTTGAAGAAGCGCTCGTGGCACGTGCGCTTGAGGAACGACTCGCTCACCACGGGGATGTCGAAAGCCACCGAGATTCCGCCAGCGCCGACAGAGTCACCACCCAGGAGGTGCTCCGGCTGCCCCGGCCAAAACCGCGGCGGCCCCGCGGGACCGGAGTCGGCCACCCTCCACTGCGGTGGTGGCGGAGCCAGCGCGAGCGGGTCCAACTGGATCTCCATGTCGGCCGCGGGAACCGCCCGACGCCTCCCGCCGGCGCCCGCAGCGGGCAGCGGGAGCGCCGGCAGCGGCGACGGTCCCGAGAAGGCGCCGTTCAAGCATCCTGCCGGCACTCCGGATCGTGAGCCAGGCGCCGTCTCCGAGCACGGCTCCTCCGGTTCCAGCGCGAGGTTTACGTAGAACAGCGGCGCCGGCGGAGAGGGGGACGGCGCCACCGGCGGGGACGGCGCCGGCGAGCTCACGTAGATGCCCGAGTCGGCGGCCGACACGTTGGAGACGTCCGAGAAGCTGCCGTCACCAGCGCCGGCACGGCCCGCGGCCGCGGCAATGGCGGCGGCCGCCTTGACGCCATCACGCGTCGGCGCCCATGGCCCCGGGTCGGAGAAGGTGCGTGGTTTCCATGCGCGCCGGCGCGCGGTTGGGCCCTCACGGGGGTTCGGCGCCGGCTCGCCGAGGAGGAGGAGGCGGGCCGTGCCTGTGACGGTGCCGGCCGATCGGTCGTCAGTGCCGGTGCCGGCCGAAGGAGGAGGTGGAGGAGGAGGCGGTGGCAGCAGAGACGGCTCTTGCATGAGCGCCACATCGGCACCGGCGTAGTGCGGGAGCATGGTGCTCGGCGAAGGATCGCGTGGCACCTGCGCAGAACCAGAGGCACGTGAGCGTCGTCACGTGGACGTCACCACATAGACGTCGCCACATAGACGTCGCCACATAGACGTCGCATAGATGCTGGGTAACTCGTCGTCTGGCGCGCAACATTGACAGCGCACTACTAGTCACATCCAACCTACTCCAGTTGCGCGGCATCTATGCGATGTCTACGTGGCGACGTGCACCAATACCTCGGCCGTGGCTGATCATTGTTTTAACCCTGTGGGCACACGCAAAATTGTTTTTTCCAAGACGAAGGTACTCTGCAAACCCACTGACTACCAGCAAAGATTCGTTCATGAAGCCATCCAGATATCTCAACACAGACACAACTTCAACCGAGAAGATGGGTACAAACTGAGCAATCATTGGAAGGACGTTATTAACCAGGTAAAGTCATAACTGGCTCTGACGTTTCCATCCTAGCTGCCGATGTTAGCAGACTCTCTGAGTTGCATTGCCAGGTTGGGGGTCTTTGTCTTTTACAGGCTGTATGTCTTAGTGTATGCATGTTGAACTTCGTTCATGCACCTTACATAGTCAAACGTGCTAATGGTAAGCGCAGTGTTGAGTCTCTGGGCAGTGTTGAATCTGGAGAACTCGGGGAAAATTCATGCGACCCAGGGAAATAGACATGCAAACTCCCAATATACAGCAGGGGTCAGGGTTGGAATCGAACCCACGAACTCCTGCATACCAGGCGAGTGAAATAACATCTCGCCACATGGCGCCCCATAAAGTGTAAAAATATCATGCACTATCTGCGTCACTGTAGAGCGGTCGGCCATCGTATACCAGATGGCTTCCGACTTTTGCTAATTATAAAAATGACTCCGCAAATCATTCCACTGGCTCACTCACCCACCTATTTACTCACCCAGCCTAGCAGGTAGGCTATGTATGATGCGAGGAGGAAGTTCAACATACACATATACAACCCCATGGCCACCAGCACTTGCACCAAATATCAAGCAGCTAAAACTCCGTATCTGACCCCACAATGGGCAGATTCGATGTTGTATCTCTCCGTACACAACACTGCCCAATGCAAAATTTTATAATGCAGTGCAGATCTTAACCAGAACTCTAAACTACTTTTTTTTTTTACCAGGTAAGGCCCACTGCACTATGCAGCTATTTTTCAGAAGAAACCGGGCTATCACAACGGATAGCTCAATGGAGTGGCAAAGGATCACCACGTGGACAATTACAGCAGCCATATACTCTAAACGTGTGACATTGATTCTAAATGTGGAGGCAAAAACCGGAGGACCCGAAGAAAAGTCCACGCGACCACGGGGAGAGGAGAGAGAGACACGGAAACTCGAAATATACAACAGGTGTCAGTCAGGGTCGGGATCGAACCCATGGCCTCCTGTGAACTGAAACTGTTTTTATTTTGCCAGGTAAGGCCCACTGAGCTATAAACCTTTTTTTCAGAAGCGACCTGGACACAAATGACAGCTCAACAAGCTGAGTGCGTGACGGGTTGCTCCATAACCCCCTATATCGTTCCCGTGTTGCTGCTGGAATGTGCACTGATGCACTACTTTATGGAGGGCAATTTTGGCGCACCAAATAAAGATTAATTGATAAAGACTCCCCCTGATATAGCCTTTAACAGACTGTTTGGGCAAGTGCTTTTAGCGAGCAGCGCCTATGAAAACTAAATTCAACTATTTTTATTGTACCAAGGTAAGGCCCCACTGAGCTATGTAGTTGTTTTTCAAAGGTGACCTGGCCACACGTCATGGAAGCTCAACCAAGTTGGTGGCTTATCATCACGTGGAATTTATATCAGCCAAATACTCGAAAAGCGTGACGTTTATTCTAAATGTGGAGGGGAAAAACTGGAGGACGCTGAGAAAAATCCACGGGAACACGGGGAGAGAGACACACAAACTCCAAATATACACGGGTGGTGAAAACATTCACCCAGAAAGATACGTCGAGATAGACTCAGAGACCCATAGCGATACGTAGGAATACAGAAAATACATAAGCCAGAGTGGTGCAATTGTAGCCAAGCAACCCACACTATGGACCACGTGGTGAACCCATCGAGACACGTAGAGACACACACACAGTTACATTCAAGGCACAAACCAAACTATGAACCGTAGTCGACCCATAGGGACTCATAGATACACACGAAGACAAATACAAAGATCCCCCGTAGAGTCTTTACAGACTGTTGGGGCAAGTGCTGTTAGCGAGCACCTATGAAGGCTGGCACGGTACACGAGAGGGTGGGTCGACAACAACCATGCCCGACCGCCTTTGTCTCCCCAGTGGCGATGTTTAAACATTGCACAGGTACTTATTTGAGGCTGAGTCGACCTAGGGGAGGCCCAGGTCCAGTTTAGATGATTATCACTGGTTTTGGCTGTGAGCGGGAATCAAACTCAGGTCGCAAAATGTGTAGCGCAGGGTGCTAACCGCTACACTACCGCTCCCTAGAAACCCATTGAGATACATCGAGGCTCATAGAGATACATAGAGACTCAGAGATACAGAGACCCATAGAGAAACACAGAGACGCATAGAGATACATAGAGACTCATAAAGATACATAGGGATACAGAGACCGAGATACATAGGGACTCACAGAGATATATTGATTTGAAGCTTTCGTGACTGCAGGAATCCATACTCTTTGGTTCTTTCGGTAAAGTCACGTAGGTATAAAATAAATCACGACGTTTCGGGCGCAACACAAGCGTCCATCATCAGGTGGGAAAGCATGATGATCTTTTTCAAAGATGTCTAGGAGGGGTACGGGGTCACATCTTTAAATAAATGCCAATTCAGCGTGAGGACCCTCGTGAGAGTCCCAGGACTCCCGGATGACTCCGTAAAACATCGCCATAACATCACTCGAACCATCACCAAAGGCAACCATCCCTCGTATAGATTTGCCAGGCTGTTGGGGCAAGTGCTGTATACCCGTCAACCCATACGGTTTACCCGGATTCCTGAACAAGGTAATTGAGTTTTCAGGTCCAAACGGCGTCCATCCGTTTCAATACGGGCAAATACGAATTTTTTGTAACGTAAGTTTGTGTCTATTTGTTTGTGTTTCTCCCTTGTGATGGGACATGGTAGGATGCACGTTGAGATTTCTATGGGCATGGGGTGACCAATAAGGTCTAAATAGGTCTGTATAAGCTAGGCCCTGATAATTATAATTATTATAAGGGGTTGGCAGGTATGGCGCTGTTAGCGAGTAGCACCTATGAAGGCCGAAACGTCACACGAAATGGTGGGTGGCCAGCACCACGCCCGGCCGCCTTTGTATTCCCAGTGGCGATGTTTGCTACACACCGCACCAGGCACTCATTTGAGGCTCAGCCGACCTAGGCGAGGCCCAGGACCGGTTCAGATAATCGTCACCGGTGTTGACGGCCGTGAGCTGGAATCGAACTTGAGTCGTGCTAACTGCTGCGCCACCGCTCCACTATTACTCACAATATCATCGCTAATAACCATCGCCACACGACATCACACACTCACCACCACCATCGCTCCCATCACCCCAGGAGCCCAGCGTGCTGCCGACTGAGACGCTCCGGAAAGTAAGACGCACCCGTGCCCCGAAGCCAATAAAGTTATACAAATCTTACATATCAACAGAGGAATTTAGCATATGGCAAATGCAGATATGCATTTGTCATCAATATGCACGTGCCTCTGTTGATGTGTAAACTCCTTTGTCAAGGCTCTCTCCTCCTCCCACCCAGCTTAACTATCGCTGCCAAGCTTAGCGGTGTTCATTAGGACGCTGTCTTTCCGACAGCTCTGTTACTTCACCTGAGGACGGCTGCTTGCGTTGTGGCCGAAACGTCGTGAGAATTTTATTGTATTATGATTTATTTTCATTATTTCCCTTCGACGTGACCTTACCGAAAGAACAAAGAAGATGAATCCCTGCAGTCACGAAAGCTTTAAATCGAAATTTATAAAAAATCTGGCCACGTACACCGGATTATAAGACGCACCCTATAAAAGTTACACAAATCTGGGCAAACTTTTTGGTTCTTTCGACAAACTCACGTAGTTAGAAATACAATAAAACAAATCACGACGTTTCTATTGCAACACAAGCAATCATCATCAGGTGGGACAACCGCAGCAAGAAAAGACTGCTGAAGTGAGAGAGAGAGAGAGCTGCCGTGGCAAGAGGTGATATCGGTAAGAAAGGGGGGTCGATAAGACGCAATCGAACCCCGAGCTCTTGCTCCGAACGACAAGACGCACTGGGGTTGAAGAAGGCGCATCTCGTAACGCGGAGGAGCTAAAGAAGGCGCATCTCGTAACGCGGAGGAGCTAAAGAAGGCGGCGAGTCGCACCTCGACTGTTGGAGCGGCGGCTGTGGACGCAGCGGCGGCGGCGGCGGCAGATTCACCTCCGTGGCGGTGAAAGTGCAGGGCAGAGGCGGGGACACACACACAGACACACAGACACACACACACTCAGAGACACACACACACACACACAGACACACACACACTCAGAGACACACACAGACACACACACAGACACACAGAGACACACACACAGACACGCGAATACACACACACAGACACGTGAACACACGCGAATACACACAGACACCACCACACACAGCCACCACACACACAGCCACCACCACACACAGCGAACACCACCACACACAGCCACCCCCACACACAGCGAAGACCCCCACACAGCAAAGACCACCACCACACACACAGCCACCACCACACACAGCTACCACACACACAGCGAAGACCCCCACACAGCAAAGACCACCACCACACACAGCGAAGACCCCCACACACAGCCACCACCACACACAGCCACCACACACAGCCACCACACACAGCGAAGACCCCCACACACAGCCACCACACACAGCGACGACCCCCACACACAGGCGGGGTAGGCGACTTCAGAGCACGCGCAGCGGCGGCACTCCACTCAACACACGCAGCAGATCGACGCCCGCCCCAAGCCCCGCCCACCGCTGACGTCATTCAGGTGAGTCCTAGCCCCGCCCCCACAATCACACCGGGCCGCCAGGCGGACGTACGGCCGAGTATTTGTGTGTGTGTGGATGTTACGTTTTTAAGAGAAGACAAGTTTTGAAATATATTTGTCCCCCGGGCAAGTCCGGGTACGTCCTGCTAGTAGTCTACGTAAAAACAATGGGGCCGTCCATAAATGACGTCACGATTTTGGACGATTTAATGTGGCGCTGCACTCTGATGTTGTAGGAGAAAACCTTTATTAAAAAGTCTAATTAAGTAGAACGTGTTGTCTATATTTATTTAAAGTTGCGCATTTTGATGTGACGTCACATTTCTCACCCCCCCCCCCCCCCCCCTTGTCACAACGTTTGGGGGCCACGGTGGCTCGGAGATGTGAACTACCTCGCCTGGTATACAGGAGGTCGTGACCCTGACGCCTGCTAGATATTTGGAGTGTGCGTGCTCTCCCCATGGTCGCGTGGATTTTCATCCGGATTTCTGGCTTTTTCTTCCACATTTAGAATCAATGTCACGCGTTTTGGCCGATTCTGCCGCTCCGTCTCCGCTGCAGGCGGTACCGGGGGGAGGGGGGGGGGGTGTCTTCTTGGGGCGCCACGGTGGCTAGGAGATGCTATCGCCCTCGCTGGGTACGCGGGAGGTTGTGGGTTTAATCGCGACCTTGATGCCTGTTTGTATATTTGGAGTCTGCTGCGTGTTCTCTCTGTATCTTTCTTTCCGTGGTGGTCGCGTGGATTTTTTTCGACGCGTCCTCTGGTTTTTTATTCCACATTTTAAACAGTGGCGGCTCCTGCAAAATCTCTCAGGGGGGGCAAATGTCTGGATGATTGATAAGGTCCACCCATGCAATGGATAAATTAACAGCTTAAGCATGTAAAGGCAACTTCACTTCTTTAATATTAATGAAAAATAAAGTGACTCTTACAATACATCTTGTTTGTTTCTATACTCACTATTAATACAATCCACTCAAGTTTATTTTATTAAAGATTCCACTAGGTGGCGACAAATTATATTGTTGGATGAAACGTGCTTACGTATGATCACGTAAGCACGTTAGGGCGAGCCCTCCCGGAAGCCAGAGAATGCATTGGCGCGCCCGCCGTTCGAAAAAAAACATCTTTGAATGTAAGTCTATGGGGCCACTCGGGGCGATTCTCAGCCGGAGTGAAATCGCCCAAAAAGAGGCGGTACTCCACAGAACGTGACATGACGCTGATTGGACTATATCCAGAGACACAGTGACGGCTAGCGTAACTCTGTGGTTGAATGACATTGGTGGTGCGTCGCCCAATCGCCCTAATGAAGAAACCGCCCCTGATTTTAAATCACCGTCACGCGTTTAGAGTATTTAGCTGTACTCTTTGATTCTATCGGTAAAGTCACGTAGGTATAAATTTAATTAAATCACGACGTTTCGGGCGCAACACAAGCAGCGTCCGTCATCAGGTGGACGCTTGTGTTGCGCCCGCAACGTCGTGATTTATTTTATTTTCTACCTACGTGACCTTACTGAAAGAACCAACGAGTATGGATCCCTGCAGTCACGTGATAAGCCACTTCGGTCCCTCGTAAAACTATTTTTTATTTTACCAGGTAAGGCCCAGAGCTACGTAGCTCTTATTGAGAAGCGACCTTGCCACAGATGATAGCTCAGCGACGTGGTTTATCGCGTGTGAATGTATAGCAGCAGGCAAATACTATAAACGCGTGACGGTGATTCTGTGGAGGAAAACACCGGAGGACACCGGAGGAGAATCCACCCGACCACGGGGAGAGAGCGAGAGAGACGCAGACTACAGATATACAGCAGCAGGCGTCAGGGTCAGGGTCGAACCCACGACCTCCTGTGTACCAGGCGAGGCAGTTAACATCTCGCCACCGTGGCGCCACATTTAATATTCCGCGAGATTACGCAGGACAGCCGTCACTGAGTCCCAGGACTCACTTCCAAGAGGGCCCTGCCCAGTTACGCAGTCGGGGGGTGATGCTGCTGCTTGCTGCTGTGCGTGTTCCCTGTCGAGTGATCTGCAGGTTCATGTTTCAGCACATGGGGGATGTGCTTTTGGCTCGGTACCAGTTCCTCTCTGGGTGGGGGTTTAACTACGGGAGAAGGAAACCGGAGAGCCCGGAGGGAATCCACGCAGAACAGGGGGAGAGAACACACAACCTGCACTCACTCTGTATGTAGAACAGGGAGAGAGAACACACAGCCTGCACTCACTCTGTGTGTAGAACAGGGGGAGAGAACACACAACCTGCACTCTCTCTGTGTGTAGAACAGGGAGAGAGAACACACAACCTGCACTCTCTCTGTGTGTAGAACAGGGAGAGAAAACACACAACCTGCACTCACTCTGTGTGTAGAACAGGGGGAGAGAACACACAACCTGCACTCTCTCTGTGTGTAGAACAGGGAGAGAGAACACACAACCTGCACTCTCTCTGTGTGTAGAACAGGGAGAGAGAACACAACCTGCACTCTCTCTGTGTGTAGAACAGGGGGAGAGAACACACAACCTGCACTCACTCTGTGTGTAAAACAGGGGGAGAACACACAACCTGCACTCTCTCTGTGTGTAGAACAGGGAGAGAGAACACACAACCTGCACTCTCTCTGTGTGTAGAACAGGGAGAGAGAACACACAACCTGCACTCACTCTGCGTGTAGAACAGGGGGAGAGAACACACAGACTGCACTCACTCTGTGTGTGTAGAACAGGGGGAGAGAACACACAACCTGCACTCACTCTGTATGTAGAACAGGGGGAGAGAACACACAACCTGCACTCACTCTGTGTGTAGAACAGGGAGAGAGAACACACAACCTGCACTCTCTCTGTGTGTAGAACAGGGAGAGAGAACACACAACCTGCACTCACTCTGTGTGTAGAACAGGGAGAGAGAACACACAACCTGCACTCACTCTGCGTGTAGAACAGGGGGAGAGAACACACAGCCTGCACTCACTCTGTGTGTGTAGAACAGGGAGAGAGAACACACAACCTGCACTCACTCTGTGTGTAGAACAGGGGGAGAGAACACACAGCCTGCACTCACTCCGTGTGTGTAGAACAGGGGGAGAGAACACACAACCTGCACTCACTCTGTGTGGAGAACAGGGAGAGAGAACACACAACCTGCACTCACTCTGTATGTAGAACAGGGGGAGAGAACACACAGCCTGCACTCACTCCGTGTGTGTAGAACAGGGGGAGAGAACACACAACCTGCACTCACTCTGTGTGGAGAACAGGGAGAGAGAACACACAAACTGCACTCACTCTGTATGTAGAACAGGGGGAGAGAACACACAGCCTGCACTCACTCCGTGTGTGTAGAACAGGGGGAGAGAACACACAACCTGCACTCACTCTGTATGTAGAACAGGGGGAGAGAACAAACAACATCCACTCACTCTCTCTCGAACAGGGGGAGAAATCATGCATGTTGAACTTTTTTCACGCCGTACATAGCCAACTATGCTCATTAGATGTGCGGGTAAGGACAACTAAACACAAATAGTAATTCTAAAGAAATTAGTTTTCAATCTAGATGTAAAAGTGCATAGCTACAGTGGCTTCTTAATATTGGAAGGAAGAGGGTTCCAGACGGCCGCAGAAACGCATCTAAAAGCACGTGATGCGGTAACCGTCTTTGTTCCACGGCTCGCCAAAAGCCACTACAAGGATGATCGGAGTTTGCGTGATGGCGTATTCTCATTGATAAGATCAGCAAAGTATCGTGATTCATTTGTGGCAATCACTTTTTGTGTAATGAGTGCGACCTTAGGATGCCGTGGTTCTTATCCTGGGGTGCACGCTGCACCCTCTGTGGGTGCGAGATGCCCTTTCTGGTGGTGCAAGACATGGCCAGATTTTTTTTTATATCAGGTAAATCATCGAAACATAAATTCAGCACGGGCACTTAAATACAACTTTGTTTCACCAAACATATGTACTGTTTAACAGTGTACATTTTCGAACGATTGAGAACCAAAGGGATGCAACGCTGCAGTAAAGGTTAAGGAGCCACTGGTACAACGAATTCGTTCGGTAACCGGAAGCCAATGCAGCCCGGCGAGCACAGGACGGACATGGTCGGATCTTGCAGCACCCGTCACGACACATGCCAGAGCATTTTGTACACGCTGCAGATTCATCTTCTTGGTTCTTTCGGTAAAGTCACGTAGAAGGGTAGTAATAAAATAATAAAAATAAAACATAATAAAATAATTCTCACGACGTTTCGGCCACAACACAAGCAGTCGTCCTCAGGTGAAGACCAGGTATGTCGAGGCGACAGCATCTAAAAGAAAACACCACCACGCTTGGAGCGTCTATTTAAGCTGGTTTGGAAGGGGGGGGGGGGAATTCGCATTGACAAAATAATCTGCATATCAAGAGGAATTAAATACAAGAACCAAGAAGATGAATCCCTGCAGTCACGCTGCAGATTGTTAAAGTTTTTGCCAGACGTCTCAAAAAGTAGTAATTTTCATTAATCGAGCCTGTAGATGTTACGCTACATGCCACCATGTTGGCTATGTCACGACTCAATTGTAGTCGAATGTGTTGCAGAGCCCTGATATGAAAATTGCAGGACTCGCCTACATTTTGCACGTGGTGATCAAACGACATTCTGGTCGAGTATGATGCCAAGGCTCTTGTGATGAATAATACACTGAATCCTGGAATCTGTGACCACCACAACTGATCCTCCCACGAATGTTTTCGCCTTGGCCTGAGTGCCAATCATCAGAACCTCCGCATTTCATTTTGTGCAAACCACACTTGCACCGCTTGCATGCAATCT